CCAGTTGCTTAAATTGGAAAATTTACTGCGATGATCATACTTCACTTTCATCTACTACCGCAGTTCAAATATGAATTATTTCATATATACTTCACAGTATTAAATATGTTTCAAGAAACCGCTTGAGGGAGCTTTCATGATTCACAATTTTCCTTTACTTGCTTTTGTTTTCTAGGGTTTATTCTGGCTCGTTCATGTACAAAAGAATGCATCATCAAAGGAGTGAAAATACAAGAGGGTATAATGGCTGTAATACCAGCATACAGCATTCACCATGACCCGTCCATTTATCCTGACCCGGAAAAATTCGACCCAGAGCGTTTTTCAGCTGCAGCTAAACAGTCTCGCGATCCCTACACTTACATGCCGTTTGGTCACGGACCCCACAACTGCATTGGTATGCGGTTTGTTCAGGTGGAAATGAAGCTGTTGTTGGCACGAATGTTGAAGAAATATCGTTTGGAAGCTGCTCCAGATACAAAGATCCCGCCTGAAGTTCTCATTAAAAGTACCTTGACATGTGGAGATGTTAAAGTTCTAGTAAAATCACGAGCCAAGTGAATGCATGCCAAACCTTTCCTTTTTCCACATACAAGAGCGTAGAGGTTTTCATTTGAGTGTCTCAAAACCAAAACTAAAGTTATCACTCTGGCCAATCACCAAACATATAGACAATCCAATGAACCAATTAAAACATAAAGTAAATGCATATACCTGATGCAAAGCATGGGGGAATGCATGTGAGTGCGTAACAGTTGGTTTTGGTATCCCTTCTGATTGGATGAAAAAGTGGTGCTGGTCTTTTTAAACAATCATGTAGCATAGCAATACAAAACCAATTATATTATTATGTTTCAACATTCAAATTTAAAGTGCTCTCATTTCAGGCCCTTGATCTATGGTAAAAGTCATGTTTAAGATGTTAGTGTGTATGTTTTAGGGGAATAAGGCTTAATAACAGTATTTGTATGATATGCAGTTGCTTACAATGCTAAACACTGTACCATTGCCTCTTGCAAAAGTTTGATTAAATTTTAAGATCTTTTTGACAACCTTTTGCTGGCTTCTATTTGAACCAGCCTATCAAATCGTGGGGACTGTACAGAGTGGAGATATTAAATAATAGACAGTCAAATTCACCATTCATTTGTGTGGGAATTTCAAAAGTCTCAATCTGTGAACAATTGAATCGGTGGCAAGTCGTCACAGTTTGATCAACCATTTTGAATGGAAGCCATTGAATGTTAGAAGTTGTCGAAAAGTTGTCAAACTAATCAAAAACGTTCTGAGGTGGCAATGGTAAGCTGCATAGCACTGTAAAGCAGCACTGTATATGGGATTGGGCGAAAGCAGTTAAAAAGAATAATTTTTCAGACTGATCAATTTGTTATCATGGGCGTGACTATATCACATTTTTTGAATTCACATATACCTTTGAAATTATATTTGGCTAGGAGCCATAATCATAAATACATGTAATTCAGATCAATTATTGATCTACTGGTTATTTTTCCATTAAAATTTTGCTCATTTTAATGTGAAGTGATTTTTTTTGTGTGATTTGATTGGAACAAAGGAAACAATGAATGGATTACATAATAGCTGGAAAAAGAGAAATTCCCATCCTGCTACTGTTGGCTATTTTGTATCTTGGAAGTCACGGACACTAGTAGGACTAGTGTGACTGGTTTCTTAATGCAACTGACTTTTTATTAACCATGTAATTCTTCATTAGGAAATCAATCTAGCCTGTACACAACATCAGAAATTATTAGCTCTAATATAATTAAATTGGGTTTATGATTATGCTATAAATAAAGGTACACTGTTTGGAAAAGAGTACTAGAAATTATAGCTCTAATATAATTAATAGCTTTATGATTATACTATAAACAAATGTACACTATTTGGGAAAGAGAACTATGTAGCTGTTGTATTTGGTGTGTCTGGATCAACTTTTAAGCAAAAAGGATGGGAGGGAAAATGTGTTTTCTGTATCGTGTTCAATAATCTTCCACAGGTTGGCATCTCTGATTGCAACATCTATGACCGCTTTGTTAGACTTTTTTAGGTGAGCGAAGGAAGTCAGTGAGGGGCAGGCTTTACTTGCTGACTAGTCTCTCGCAGCTTCGCGGCAGTATGACCGTGTATGAGAGGAGCGCGGCCTCTGGGGACGAGAATGTACGAGAGCAAAAGAGGTTAGGGACCGACCACTAGAAAAGTGATGGGGGGTGGGACTTTTTCAGCTTGCAGGATTTTTTTCGTTTAGTGCCTCTGCAGGGTTTTTTTTCGGGGTCAAGTGCCCTGCAATCTTAATCTTGACACGCGCTATACAATCTGATTGCCTGCAAAATGCTTCAAACAAATATTTTTTTTTTATCTTTCACACAGTCGTTTTGCTTTACTGTTAAAATTATACTCCGCAGGGGAAACATACTGAAGGTATCAGACACATTTAAGCGGCTATTGCCTAAGTGATGGAGCTGCGTTACACTTTTTGTTTGATGTCTAGAGAAAAATTGATTTTATTTTTTCATTCCCCTTGTAATAAAACTCATTCTTGGCATGCAGTGAATCAAGGTTTTAGCTAGGATTCTCTAAGTGGCCGTCTAGTAACAAATGTGGGGCCAAAGGACCTATTCTGCTGGGGGAGTCTGGGGGTATGCCACCCAGAAAATTTGGCAAAATTGAAGCGTTTTGGTGCGTTTTCCACGATTTTAAGCCGATAAATTTAATGTATCGATTGGACTTGAATGATAATGCGTCGTTTACTCTGTCAAAAGTTGAGAGTTGTCAGTTGTGAAATCACTCCTATATATCGAGTCTTTCAAAACACGGTCTGTGCTTGCTTCATCGGAAACTAATCAAGCAGGATGGTTGTTTATAGCTCGTAGTTTTGCTGCGCACAAAATGTATTTTATCAGCCTTGAAATAGAAAAATGTCCGTTTTCCTAATTGTAGAGAAAACCAGGTAAATGGGGATTACACCAGGACCAAGAATTCAAATTAAAACTGCAGTATAAAGTGGCTGCCAAGGTGCCCTTTAGGCGAGTAAAGTTCGTAAGCCCGACAGTGCAATCGACTCTGCAAGAATTTTTTTTCTTCACTTCTCCTTTGCACGAACTTTTTTTTCAGTCTGCCAACCTTCCATGTTTTTTTTCTCCCACCCCCCTCCCCCATCACTTCTCTAATGGTCCGTCCCTTCCATGCTTTTGATGAGAGCCAATAAGAGCCTGCTCGCAGGCTAATTACTACGTTGACCTGTGATTGGCTTAAAAAAACTCGCGCCACTTTATCATCCAATCGGAAGTAAAACCCTTCAAAACAGTGCAGGTCGGCCCACGCGTTTTCCCGGGTTTCGCGTCAGCGATATGTACTTGCATGAAGTTTTGATTGTTTCACTGCGGTTTTTGTGATTGGAAAGAGTGGTTTCTTTAGTTTTGGTGTTATTTTATTATTTTACACTCTTTTGTAAGGCTCGCCTCACTGAAAGTATGTGTCTTTTCAAGATTGTTTCACTATTTTTGACGTATATGGCTACAAGAACATTGTAAAATTAGTTAATCGTGCCAGATAACAACAAATTCCTAGAAATATATGAACTGAAGTTTTATTTAAATAACAACTTATAAGGATGAACCTAGTAAGTTCTCTAAGGGTCCGGGAAAAGGGTAGCCAAATATTTTAAAACTGCTTTGATACACAATCCCCAGACGTTTGATCCAAACTTTTGGTATGTGTGCGTAGTAATTTATTAGTTCATTTTTAGTTCTTGATGAACGAAACGATGGGAATTTCAACTGTGTTAAATTGGCTCGCTCAAGAACATACTTAGCGTCTTCTTGTAGAGTCTCATAGTGCCCTACATAGTTGTACTTGATATCGCAAAACCCGCAGACGTCTTCATAATTTGCCCAGTGCCAGTCCTCTTGCGCGCCCCCATTTATAATGTACTCTATGAATTCAGGGAACCTCACACCATACCCGCCCTGCAGTGCCTCCTGGGTGGCGTTGGGTCTAAAGTTTCGGATGATCTTTCTTCCAAACACTGTAATGAATGGATCTTTATCAGCGGCTCTTGGATGTAAATATTTATCTTTGTACGCTGACAAAAGCCGCTCGAAAGGTTCTCTCACAAGCATAAACTTGTAGAAAGTTTGAAGCATTTTCTGTGCTTTTTCCTGTGGAAACTGTTCCACGGTTGGACCGTACGGAGAATGATAACCCTGAGATAAGCGGTATTTTCCGAGGAGCGACATCCATTTCCTGCTTGCTACCTTTGGTACCAGACAGAAGATCACTTTGTGTTTTTCAAAAACGTAAAGGTGTCCTAAAGTCTCGTTATTTGGTGTTTTCTTTTTTCTTCCTCCGCAAAACTGCCTCAGACGCTGCTTCTGTTCCAAGTCTCTTTTACCATCATCTCCTCTGTAATAAGACGCGTCATCTCCCTTCAAAATGACAGTAAAAAATCATGCGATTTCTACAGCACTGTACCCAGGGCTCTATTGCTGATATCTATCGAAAAGGACTAAGGACTAGCTTATGATCTTTCTCCATATGAGTTTATTTGAATAGCGTTAGTAGTATTGTTCAGTTTCCACAGTTAATTGTTGAATACAATATCAATGAATTTCTAACTTTACAGACCTGACCTCGGACAGAAGATTTTAGATCCTCGGATATCCCGGGGACAGTTAGCATTTGAGAAAAAAAGCTCGAAGTGGCTGTAAAATATTTCAATAACATTTGCGAGGAACAGTAGACTGTTCTTGACTTTTTTTTACTAATTCAATGGTTTAAACTTTCCCTCTACTAAATACTCCTAGATCTCTGAGGATGGCTCTGTTTTGCCTTCGTGGCTGGAGGGATGTCATGCGAAAGCACTCTGTTTTAGAGTTTCTAACGAAATCCCATCGATTAAATAGAACCTCGCCTTAGCGTCTGCTGTTACGCTGGACAAAGCACTTATGCGTGAAATTCCGCTAGCTTCGCAGGCTAATGTTTCTTGACCTCGTAAGCCAATAGCACAATCGTATTAAAATGTAAGTAACAGTAGAATTAGGATTCTATGTTAAAATAAACACTCACCTCAGCCTCGTAAGGATTGTTATCCAAGAGAACAGGACTTGACAAGGGTTCCGCTGGCAAAACAAAAACCTTTATAGCTGTATTACAACTTTTTTTCGCACAATTTAAGTAAATTTGGTATGAACGCGAGTAAGTGAAGTAGCGTGGCGTTTACGTAAGCTCACAACGCAGCGGGAAAATAATGTCATACGATAGCATAAAATGCATTGTAATGTAAAGCTATGAAGATAACTATGGCTGGTATGGATTGAATATGATAAGTTGAAACTCAAGCTCGAAAATATATATATGGAGTACAGAAACTGTTCACAACGGCAATTTATTAAGGGTCATGTCTGTTAAAGACAAACGGAGATTTAAAACACCAATAAGTCCGTCAATAAAAAATATCTTAACTTACCTTTAGTATCTTGTGGCATGGGGCGACTAATTGTGCCAGTCCACTCTAGACGGGTGTCATGTCGTTCGGCGGGATACCAAAGCCTTACACCGCAGAAACCTACTGGTACACCTGTGAGAAGGGTGACATTGTGAGAGTGAAGTGCCTTGCCCAAGAATACAACAAAAGATTCTTTATTCTTAAAGGTTATTCGTTATTCTTAAGTGTCATTCGTTATTCTGAATTCGTTATTCTTAAGTGCTACTCGTTATTCTAAAGTGTTATTCGTTGTTCTTAAGTGTTATTTGTTATTCTTAGTGTTATTCGTTTTGCGTGCGGAGTTGCCCGTTAGTCGCCTGTTTTCATAACGTCTGAAGATTTTTGCCCTGTTGTGAATCTCCGTCATAAGCTTGATCACAGTAAAAGACAATCAAAAATAGTTTTTTAATTGGTGTAGGAACTCGTTAAAAAAGGAAAGCAACTACAATAGCTACAATAGTTTACAATCTTAAAACGCGTAATTCGCGAGTCTTCTGCTACACACCTGCCAGTTCAGAAATAGATACAACATTATTTGTGCTTCCTTCGAGTTCTAGTAATGTAGCTAATGCATGCAATTCGAAAAAGCTGTGAAAACACTCGCCTGTCAGCTCGTGTTCCCATAACATTTCTCGTTCTCCCAAACTTCCTCTCGTGTTTCTAATTAGATTATGAGCTCGAGATTTCTATCGCGTGACATCAGAGAAATCGAGAGCGAATAATCTAATTGTTTTAGTATAAATATACTAGTTGTTCAAAACTTTATCTAAATCCTCTTCACAGACACTTCGAAAATGCCAACCTCATTCATTCACCTCGTAGAAATCTCGAGCTCATAATCTATTTGTTAATTAGATTATGAGCTCGAGATTTCCATCGCGTGACAGTTGACGAGGGCGCAGCCCTCGTCAACTATCACGCATAGAAATCTCGAGCGAATAATGTAATTGTTTTAGTATAAATCTACTACTCGTTCAAAACTTTATTTAAATCCTCTTCACAGACACTTCAAAAACGCATTAAGGGGCCGCCAGCGCGTTTAAATACCAAGCGCGCACTGCTACGCTACTCACTATCTACAACAGAATAAACAGTGAGTACTGTAGCTTATCAGAGAACGGCATTCGTGATAGTAGGCTAATAGATTTATACTAAAACTCGCGAGAAACACTGAACATGTTCTCGATTTCCTACAAAAATACAAAGTTCTATGACCTGCATAGATTTGTATAGTGTTTGAAATTTCAATAAATAAATTCATGTCGGTTTATGAGGTGTTTGTCACGAATAGTTGCCCTTAGAAATTTTCTTGCTTTTTAACAAACTTCATTCTCGGCCCAATATTTGTTTGTTTGTTTTTTTTAAGACGAAGTTTCCACTGGCAACTTAAGGAACACGATAGGAACAATTTTATTTAAATTATAAATTTCTATCTCATAATATACCAGTAATTGACAGATAGAAGTTTGGCTTTAGCGGGCGCTTCTTGCAAGTTGTTTTCTTAAATTAAGATGATATTGTTTTAAAAGTTATTCGTGAAAAGAATTATTTCCAGTATATCAAGTTCAGTCGACTTGACTTTGACTCTCTTCATTTGAAATTAATTTAAACAAGACTTTTTAGCATCGTGAGATCCACTGAATGAGGTTCTTAGCTTGTAATGGATGAATTACCGTCTGACTGATACTTTAAATTTCATTTACATTATGGGGAGGTTTCTATTTTTTGCGGTTTTACTGTCGGAATAGTTTTCAATGAGAAAGATGAATTGACTGAAATGGTGAAATATTGAACCAGTCAGTTTCACCGCTTAGCATAAATCTCTGCAAAAGTCAAGTTATTTGTCTCAATGGCGTCTGCCGTCTCTTTCATTCGGTGATAAGTTTTCTTCTTAAAGGAAAGGAAGGGAAAAGACTGAGAAAGAATAATGCCGAATAATAATATTTAAATAAGTGTGACCATTATTAGTATCTATTCCGAGCAGAAAGGACAACACAATGTTAAGTTTGCTTAGCATATGGTAACGGTAAGTGAAATCAGTTTAAGATACCTTCACTGACGTGATCTGGAACAGCTGGCAACGAGCAAAACACGAGCAAGTTGACTATGATCGTAAGAGTTATGCAGCTTATTATGACAGCTAAGGCACGCATATTCTTCCTCATGACCAAGGCTGTATACAGCAATTTTAGCCGGGAATATCGACGCGTATGTTTTGAAACAATGAACCAATGATGTGAGGAACCTCGAGACTGGGAAGATATCACAGGCTGATACTTGTTAACTATTCATGAAAGATTCGTCTTTGTGGATTTGAAATGAAAACAATGGTTTCTTGAAACGCAAGGACACGCAAACTTCACAACAAATGCACTATTCAATATTGATCATCGATTCCCTCTGATGACTTACTTAGCATATTACATAAGACTTTAAAACTAATTATGCAAGGGTGTTTTTCACGCTAAGTCCAAACTTGACAAGTCGAAGAATGTTGACTCCGGCGCCTTCGCATCTCAAAACGAACTTGGAGAAATTATACAGTAAATTTAAACTACACAAGTGGAGCAGCAAGTCAAACAAGGATTCCCACCTGCTGTTCCCACGGAAGCTGGAGCGGCTAAATATAATCCGCCAGCTAACGAGCTTGGACTCTGGAGCTCTGGTGGCCTAGATAAAGCTAGAGGTAAATTTCATTTGTTTTCCACTTGGGATGCTAAAAAGGAGCTCATCACGGTATTTTGAGTTATTTTGGTCACATACCTCAAAATTACCTTTAAATTGAAGGAAACCTGAAAATAGTAGAAACATGGATGGTTAGGGATAGAGAATATTAACACGGATTAAAAACGACGAACTTAAAAGAAAATTAGGCTACACTTTGAGCAAACCGTGACGTAGCACCTTTAATTTCGTTTCTGCTGCGGTTCTTTCAAAGTCGAGTTGTTTTCTGTTTTTGCGCAAAAATTTTGGCGGACCCTTAAGGCCTGTTTACGAGAAAGGGTTACCCTAGCAAGCGGGTTATCCTAACAAGCGGGTTACCCTAGCACTCACACATTTCCTCTTTTTTCCTTCGTCGTGTTTACAAGGCAGCTAGGGTTACCCGGGTAGGCGGGTTAATTCCACTATTTTGGCGGTTTTCATAAGCAGGATACTAGTCAAAGTATCAAGCTTACAACAGTAAAAAAATATATAACCTTTTGTTTAAGCACTATTCTTGCATTTTGTCAGTTTCTATCGTTTTAGCGAGGTCAATCTTACATCAGGCTGATATTACATACACGTCATGCGACTTACCTTTGCAGAGATACAAGTAATATTTGACCATATTTCGTTGTTGATATAGATCCCGATTTATGCTAAATACCCGTTTCAATTTTAAGGCTTAACAGGTTCTTATGTACTGGAATGAGGTTAAAAAGCAAAAAATTTCGCCAACAAGATCATAAATACTAGGTCCTTAAAGAGTGCTAACTGTTTTCTTACCCATAAGTTTAAAATAACTTCCCAACAGTCAGGGTTATCACCAGTGCACTAAAATTCAACTCTCCCACACTTGACCGCGGTGACCTCATGGTTAGTGCCAGGACAGTGCGCTCGTCCCCGGATAGAGCGGTCCGGGTTCGAGTCCTGGCTGGGGACACTGTGTTGTGGTCTTGGGCAACATACTTAACTCTCACAGCGCCTCTCTCCACCCAGGAGTAGAAATGGGTATCAGCGAATTGTTGGGGAAACCTAACAAATTGCTGGGGA